TTAATATTACAAACTATTTCTCATTTGACATAATATTTTGAAAGTTATTGTCTAATAGTTTGTTTTACAATATCCTATTTAAACAAATGTTATATTTTATTTCGTAAGTATTAAAAACAATATTTTAATTAATTTTTCTATTTTTTAAATATGTAATTAAATTGCATATCAACTTTATTATTAATATGAGATAATTTTTTAATATAATGTAAGATTGAAATTTTAAAAAAGTATTATATAAGTATTATATTAAATTTCATCTAAAATATTATTTTTTATTTAATAGTTTAATCTAAGAAATTCAAAAAACAGATATTTTTTATTTTATAAAATAAACTTATATTCTTATATATTATTTTAATATTAAAGATATGTTTATAGAAATAAAATTTTATATAATATTTTTATCAATTGTTTTAACTAATTGTTTGCATTCATGTATCAAACACTATCCGTCGGTAACAGAGGACAAGTGTGGTATCAATGATCAGTCACTGTTTATGAGCGGACACTGTCTTAAGTGGTCATCAAATGTGACGACTAGTGTTCAAAACGGACGGTTAGCTCAACCGTTTGAGTGGCCGTGGATTGCATTCATTGATATATACAAAACATTTTGGGGTTTCAAATATAATAGGTATTTGTAATTATTAATATACATTTGCAATAATGGTTTATTACTCACCCCCACTACAAAAAATATTGATGTTTTAATAATAAATTTCCCAAATAAAAAAAATATATTTTATTTTTTTCTACTCAACTCAACTACCAATTTTTAATTATAAAATAAAAAGTATACAAAACAAATATTTAGCATAAAAAATTTTTGAAATATCTATTTTTTTATTATTTTAAATAATATCAAATAATAGATTAACTGGTAGATTCCTACAAATAGTAAAATATAGAGTTTATAAAAACAAATCAAATAATTTTGACAAACTTTACTTATAATTAATATAATTAAATTTAAATAATTTTTTATTATTAAACGATTATGTGTTTTAATTAAGTAAATGGTGTACTGGAGTTATATTGAATAGCTATTGGATTATAACAGCAGCACATTGTGTATTGTAATGACGTTTTTAAAAATTTTACAAATTTATGAATCAAACATTTTAATTAAAAATATACTTTTATTTAACTAATAATTTATAATAAGATCCGATCACACAATAAGTGTAAGATTGGGTTATGACTACAGTCAAGCAAATCAAGTATACGGTGTGAATATGTTTGTCATTCAACCCAATTATACGACATTCAGTCATATCCCAGGTTTAAGGCAAGGATATGACATCGCATTATTGAAATTGGATTCACAGATATTGATGACACAGTCGACGGGTGGGTATCCGACAGTTAATGCCATTTGTTTGCCCGACAGAGACATTGTTAACACCGATAAAGAGTTGGCAGTGTTTGCCGGTTTCGGTGATACTGACGATAATGTAATTAATTTGGGTCCACTCAGGAAGGGTTGGTTTCTAATGACTGAATCATCTAATAACGCGTCAGATAACTACAGTTATTTGATTTTTAGTCAAAGATATCCATTATATGTGGGAACCGGTATCTGTAATGTAAGTAATAAACTATTAATTATAAAATAAATAAAATTCTATAAAATTATTCTTAATTAATATTATTAATATTATTAGAATTAATATATAAGAGTTGTTTAACAACTTATGGTTAACTTATTAATTTAATAATAATTCAATAAAAATGTTTTATTTATAATTTTAAATAATTTTTTTTTTAAATAAGTAATATATATTATATTCAAAAAAATAATAATAATAAATTATTCAAATAATATACTATAGGGTGATTCTGGTGGACCATTGGTTCAGTATGTAATGGACAACAATAATCATAAAAGTGTTAACAATGTTATGACGGGTAGTGGTAGTGGTAGTGATGGTGGTGGTGGTGGTGGTGGTCGGGCAGTACTAATAGGTTTAGCTATGGGTGTCACAACTAAGTTGCCTACCTGTCAGTCCAGACATACCGATACTGTCATAATATTTGTTCGCATATCTAAACATATTGATTGGATTATTAATACAGTGTCCCAACACTAACATTATAAAAGTTTAATAAGTATAATAAATTCTGGTTTAAATGTATATTATAGACAGCCAGTAGAAAATTATTGTTTTTATGCAGTTATACACAAATAAAATTTTAGTTTTATTATTTAATTATTATTTAGTTACGGTTAGTTTGGGTGGGTGTGAGGTTAGGAAGTGGTTGGGTGTGTGTGGGGGTTGGTTTAGTGGACAAATTTTAAGTGAAATTTTCTACTGGCTTTCTATAATCTACATTTGTTCCTAAATCCTATTTTTTCTAACTATTTAATACTATTTAATACTGTATTATATAAAGACAAATACTGTATAATAACGGTATAATAATTTGTAATTAAAATTAATTGTATTTTAATATTTATTTTAATTGACTATAAAAAATATAAAAAATTTATTTATTTTTTATTTTTAGAAATTGTAATTATTATAAATATAATTGTTAATTAAATGTTTAAATATCTTAACATTACTGTATTGAATATCTAACCAAAACCTAAACAATCTAAACCAAAACAAATATTATAATTTAATGTATTTTAATTCTAGCATATCTAATTAATTTTTTAAAAAATAGCTAACAATTTATTTATGTTTATTAAAAATAAAAATCATTTATTGTTTTTAAAAATACATTACAAATAAACTATAGTTATAATTATTAAATATAATACATTATGTTTTAATGTTATTGAATATCTAATAAAAATTTTTAACCAAAAATATTTAAATTAATTGTATCTTAATTGCTGTTGTCGTTGTTGTTGTTGTTGTTGTTGTTGTCATTGTTGTTGTGATTAACCATTTCGTGATCGTTAGTCCTGTCCTGTAATGTCTGGCCATTAAACACACGCTTCAATTGTATGACTATTACTGTGCATATAATGATTTCAATCAATGATATAATTATTAATATAATTGGTTTCAATAGAAGTATCTCCGGTGTCATTGTTTGTGGATTATTGATCACTCCATCACCAATAGTCTACAGTATATATATTATATATATATATTAATATAAATTAATATAAAAATTATTTATTATTATTTTTAAATAGTAAAATAAAATATTAAAGATAAATTATATTTTTAAATATATACTAAAAATAAATAATATACCTTATATATATATATATATTATATTTCATAAAATATTTAACAGTATTTATTATACTAAATATATATACTTGTTGTTACATATAATATAATACTATAAATGTAACAACAAGTATATATTTAGTATAATAAATACTGTTAAATATTATATGAAATATAATATATATATATATAAGATATATTATTTATTTTTAGTATAATTTATATACATATAAAAAATAAATTATATTTAAAAATATTTTATTAAATCAATAAAAACAAATATTATAATACCTTAGCGTAGTATTTGGTTGAATTCATTTTTTAAGTAGTAGACTAATTGTCAGATTTTTTTTTTAATATTTATTATCTTAACAATTATTAAAAACTTTTTTTTTCAATACTGAAACTGTAGTTTCAATAGTTTCATAATAAATATTCAATAATTTATATAATTTATATAGACTATTTATATCCATGAAAACTATTAAAACATTTAGTAAACATCATCCCGTTTTCCTAATAAATTTGTTTATCACTAAAGTTTTATATTAAATTTCAAATTTGAAATTTTTGTAATAATTGTTTAATATTATTAAAATTCATTAATTGATATTTTTTTTTTAAAAAAAAAAACACAAACAATACGATTAGTCATTTGATATTAATCAGGGTTGGAAAAATACAAGGTTTTGAATTTTTACTTTGTATAATAAAGTAAAATACAATGTACTGCATGTATTATACAAAATTTTCAAAATTTTAATATATATATTATGTTAAAAACAAAAATTACTTTAAAATATTTAGTAAAAATATAATTGCTAGAAAATGCATTAGTAATATTATTAACAATCGTTTTGTTTCTAAGTTATAAAAAATTAAGTAATTTAAAATAAAAAATGAAATTCAATATACAAAAAAAAATAATATTAAATCTATATTTATTATAAAACATTATTTACTTTGCTTATATCAAATGCTTTTTTTAGCCATTGGTGGTGCTAATTTGTTTTTTTGTAAGCCAAATTGGTCATGTATTTTACATTGTATTATACTGTATAATACGCTTTGTATTATACAAACATTTTGTCTCTGCCAACACTGATATTAATATTGAAAACATTTATTTATGTCTTAAACTTAAAACATAACTTATAATGATTTCAATGATTAACATAACTTTAAAAACATACTAATAATAATTGGTTTCAATTATAGAATTCTTTTTTTGTGAAAGTTGTCGTAAATTTATAAAAAAAATATATATATTTGTCTTAAAAAAAATATTATTTGTAAAGTAATTTTTTTAAAAAAAATAAATAAAATAAAACACAAATTAATTATAAATTCATAGTTAATTTTACTCTATTTAGTTTTTTTGTTGTTATATTTTAATTTAAATTAATTTTTTAATATGTGCAAAAAATAAAGATAGATATAGATATTATTTTTATTTACAGTTTATATAAAAATTCAATTATATTTTTATATTTTATTTGTATAAAATTTAAGTTAATATTTTAATCAAGTTTAACAAACAAACAAAAATTGTTAAATAATTTAATGATATGATACTTATATATTTAATTGAATTATTTAATTAGTGCATAAATCAAACAAACAAAAAATAAAAAAAATAAAATAATTATAACTAAACCCTAACTGACCCACAAAAATATTACCTAACCCTATAATTTGGTACTATTTTCTCTATACATTTAGCATTAGAAATACTGTTAAAAATAGTACCAATATTTCGCCTACTATTAGCTATTACTTAGGCATAGCTATTGTTTATACACATGTATTGCCCGCCAAAGTGTTTGGTTATTATATGTGTATTGTATTTGTATTTATAAGTCAAACAAACAAACAATTATTTTTAGTTAATCATTGAAATCAATCAATTGATCGGACAATTAGCTAACAACCCGAACACACGCTGACCACCAAACAGTAGTAGTTAGCTATGTCTTTATTGTGCGACAAATATCGGCCGACAACACTGGCCAAGTGTGACTTCAATCAGCAACAATGTCAACGTATGCGACGGCTAATATCGACCGGCAATTTCCCGCATCTACTGATCTACGGACCGTCGGGTTCGGGCAAGAAAACCCGTGCCTATGCACTGCTGCGCGAGGTGTTCGGCGTCGGTGTCGAGCGGCTAAAACTGGAACACAAACAATTCGAGACCAGCTACGGCCGCAAGTTTGACCAGACAGTAATGTCCAGTAACTATCACCTCGAAGTTAATCCGAGTGACGCCCAGTTTTTCGATCGGCTGGTCGTCCAGCAGCTGATCAAAGAGTTGGCTACCAGTGCATCGCTGACCGACAAACATAAGTTCAAAGTTGTCGTAATCACCGAAGCCGACCGATTGACTCGCGAAGCCCAACACGCCCTGCGCCGTACACTCGAGAAGTATGTGGTCACCTGTCGTGTGATACTTATAGCCGAAAGCGCGTCGCCAATCATACCGGCCGTCAAATCGCGATGTTTGTTGTTGCGTAACGGAGCGCCGACTTCGGCCAATATATCATCAGTACTCGTATCGGTGGCCAAAAAGGAGTGCTTTTCGTTGTCCGCACAGATGGCCGACAAAATTGCCAACGATTGCGATCACAATCTTCGCAGAGCACTACTGATGCTCGAGACGTATAATGTTCGCCAAACGGGTCTCAACACTGCCGGCACACACACTACGGGTCTGATTGATGTACCGCAACCCCAATGGCGACAACAGTTGGCCAGTTTGGCCAAAAAGTTAACGGAATCGCCGTCAATGAAGAAAGTACTAGAAATCCGAAGCGCATTCTACGAACTGCAGACACATTTGGTACCAAACGATCTAATAGTTCGCCAGTTGACCAAAGATTTGCTGAAGAGATGTCTGGACGACCCGATGAAGAGCCGACTGATGCAAATGGCCGCCGATTGCGAACATTGGATGCGTTTGGGATCCAAACCGATCATCCATTTGGAAGCGTTTGCCATCAAATTCATGAACTTATGGAAGAGTAGTGTCGATGGCCTACAACTCGATGATATCGATGGCGATACGGATATGATGTCTATTGTCTATTGATTGAAATGTTAAAACATTTTTTTTAGTTAAATATTTGTTTTTTGACATTTTATTCATTGAAAAAAAACAATTTTTGTAAAAAAATTAAATATAAGAGTTTGTGAATTGAAAAATCATTTTTTTTATTAACAATAATTATTATCAACAAAATCACTATTAAAAAAAATGTTAGTTTTATGATTATATATATATATATTAGGTATTATTTTCTATATATACTATTAGGTTATATATAATAAAACTATTGATTTATTCAATTTTATATACCCCGTAAAAAACAAACAAACAAAATTGTATACAATTTTTGTGATGCATTGATAAACAAAATTCATTAAAATTTTAAACTAATTTAAATTATTTCATTGATTTTTGTTTATATATACTATATTTAAGTTATAAATATAGTAAATAAAAATGTTATTATTATTGTTTAACAATTGTATTACAAATAATTAAATAAGTTGTTTAAATTAGTGTTAAATAAAACAAAATTAAATGATTAAACACTTGATAAATGTTTTTTTTCTCAAAAATACAAAAAAAGTATTTTTGTTTTTAACCATATATTAACTTAATTTTAATCGAAAAATTTGTTTTTAATTAATTTTTAAATAAAATAATTGATATTCAATTGTTAATCATACTCGCGTACAAAAAAATCATAATTTTGTTTTTATATAGTTTTATTAATAATGTTAATTTAGTTTTAATTAACTATTATAAAAAATATTTAATCACTGCACACATAGTAAAATAAACTACATAACTTTATATAAATAATTTTATAATAATAATAAGTACAGTACTATAATTTTAAAAAATAAATAAATATATTGTAATTTGTGTACAAACAACACATGTATAATAAAATTATATTTTCTAATATAAATAAATTTTATTTTTAAAAATTTTTAAAAAATAAGCTACGTAAGTTAAATTTAAAAATTTATTCAACCCTGTTCAAATTGTATGCCAAATAGCTTTTAACAGTATAAAACTACACATGTATGTATTTAAAAAAATAAAATAAATATATTGTAATTTGTGTACAAACAAAAACACATTAAATATTATTAAAATTAAATTTCTAATATAAAAAAAATTATTTAAAAAAATATAAGCTACGTAAGTTAAATATTTAAAAAAATTATTAAACACCCTGTTCAAATTGTATGCCAAATAGCTTTTATAACAGTATAAAAACTACACATGTATGTATTAAATATATATATAGACGTTATTAATGCCCGAACCAGTAGTTAGAAAATGTAGGTGCAGTCAAACCCTACTATTGATTCAACCAATCAGCGATCGTCACTATAGTCTAGGATTTTATACAAGAAAGAGAAAGACATAGAGATATATAGGATAAGCATATAATGTATAGTAACAGTGCTATTGACTAAACACATACCAGTGCTTGACGTCCATTAGGATTTGAATATTACGTTGTTTTACGTTGTATTGTGTGCCTCAAACAAAAATCCCCTTCAAATCACCTAAAATTATACATTTTCGGTTAGTTCCCGTGACCGCCCAGTGGCCACTAATACATAAGTTGCTAGATATTTCCATAAGCTAACTGATGATAGCAAACAAATTGATCAAATCTGCCGATTTGACCACCAAATTGGCCATTTTCCCGATTAGCATACTAAGCGGCCGACAAGTGTTGCGGCCGTAGTTCACGTACCCGATTGACCAATACATCAGTTTAGGTGACCAACTGTAGCCATATTAACTCTAGTATGTGCTGAGCTACTAAATTGACCCGAAAGTGACCGCTAACCACCCGATAATTGCCGATAAGCGATTGCATAGCCTATGTTTTTTGTATAATATCCCGAATTAGTGTCATTTAATTTAGTTTAATCGCTAATATTGATTGTTTTTTGTGACCTACCTGTCCACCCCATATCTATCGGTGCTCATACACTGCATAGTTGTCCAAATTGTCCGCTAATTTAACCGCAAATTGATTTCAATTGATTATTAGCTGCCCGCTGTCCGTATGTCATGTATTAGCAGTTAATAACTGATTGAATTTGATATCTAATTAAAACATTTTCAAAAACATATAATTTGTGCGTCAATTGTCCCCATAGATTGCCGGCCCAGTTAGCCGGTGGCCAATCACTATAATCCAGTGGCCAGTTGTGTCCCCGCCGTCATAGTGTAGCATAAGTGTTGTATTTTTTTTGAGGTTACACTATAACTTTGATTATAATTATAATAATAATTTTTTTAGACTGAATTTAAATTGAATTTTATAAAAAATATTTATTTTTTAAATATTAATAATTTAAATGACATTTATTTATTTATTTACAAAAATAACTAAACATATGATTATTATTATTACAAAACATTTGTAATGTTTTTATAGTACAGTATGTAAGGCATAACTTCATTGATAATTACTATACAATGTATAATACATTACTACGGCATATACTGTACTGTACTGTACTCTATAGGCTATATAGCATTGTGTAGTGTATTATATTAAAGGGCGCAACAATTTAAAAGTTTATTTTACTGTAGCACTAGTGATAATCACAAAAATATATAATTATAATAATTGTATGATTGTGTATTAAAAAATTTTATTTTATTTTTTTAATAATTTCAGATAATTTCAACAGTTTTTGGATAACAATTTTCAAGAGATAGAGAAAGAGAAAGAGAGAGACTTAGAGAGAGAAAGAGAGAGAGAGAGTCTGTAGAGTAGAGATACTACACGAAGGAGAGAGAGAGAGAGAGAGAGAGAGAGAGAGAGAGAGAGGGAGACCACTGACTGTCTCATCAAATAATGTCTGACTATTTGGACAACAATTTTATCATCAATTCAGACAATTGGGATTACGATGATCTCAACATTTCGACCACCAATCGGTCACCAATGATGACTACGGTGTCCAACAGCAATACATTTGAGGTTATCGATGACGACGACGACGACACTGCCGATGAAAAAGATAAAAATGAAGATAATATTAATGATATCGATTGCTTGAGTGATGATTATCTGAAGTGGTTGTTAGAAAATACTACATCCGACAGATACGACACAGAAGTGATGCCATTTCTGTACCCAAATAATGGCCAAAATAATGACGACGACGATGGCGCTGATGGCAGTGTCAATGGCAATGAAGACGACGGCCAACAAGTGGCGGTCCAATCACCGCCAATGATGGACAATGATGTTGCCGACAAAGCACTGCCAGTGGCTGAACAGCAGCCTATTGTTGGACTGGATATGGCCAATGACAACGCTATGGACGTCACCGATACTCTACAGTCGAGTATGTGTGAGTGGAGAGCTGACACTAATGACAATGATGTGGTGGTCAGTGTTGATGAAAACAGATGGGAACTGTCGGCTGATTACTGGATTTATAATCCTTTGGACGCTAACTGTGCGTCTCAAAAGTTAGTGAAGATTAAAGACTTTTACTGGACTGGTTGGGACCAACGCTTTAGTTACCCGAATGGCCAAAATAACGGCGGCGGTGATGGCAATGAAAATGACAGCGGTGGCCAACAAGAGGTGATCCAATCACCGCCAGTGATGGACAAGAATGCTGATGATAATGACGATAAGGTATTGCCAGTGGCCGAACAGCTGCAGGTTATTGTACCCGATATGGCCAACGATAACGCTATGGACGTCACCGATACTCTACAGTCGAGTATGTGTGAGTCGAGAGCTGACACTAATGACAATGATTTGGT